ATACAATTGTAACGAGCTGCCAAGGCCAGCACCCTCGGCTCTGTGCAAAGAGATCGTCTCTCTCTCTCTCTCTCTCTCTCTCTCTCTCACACACACACAGCTTCATCGGGCTCAGAAGAAAACATGAGTGATCCTTTTTTGGTTTTTACATTGTGCAACATTACTTGAGATCAAATAGGCAAATGATTCCAACTGTTTGTATGAGAATCCATGTCTCTTTCCTTTTGCTACATTTACCTTCTGGCGAGAATCTTTGCAAAGGGATTGTTCCTACTCAATATGCAATGATGAAGAGGAGTTCTCCCATGGAAGTCACGGGCATTTACATCTGCACCGAACTGTAGAAGCAACTCGAGCATTGTGCGATCCCCCACATGACAAGCCAAATGCAGCAATGAGCAACCTTGAAGGCAATTTGATATTTCTCCTGAGTTCACCAGTCTCTCGCAAGATGCAGGATCAACTGGCTTTCTCTCTCTTAAATTAGTACCATCTAGCTCCCTCTGGTCTGTTACATGATGCATATCATCTGGGTTTGCCTGATCATAGATGATATTAATACTTGCACTAGAAGCCACAAGGAGGTGATAAACCTCTCGTATATTTTTAGCCTTGACAGCTTCCCAAATGAGGGCAGCGGGAGAAGGCAAATCAGGTTTAGTGTTTACTTTAACAACCAATTGTTTCTCCATGTACTGCATAATAAAAGAAAAGTTACCACTATATCATTTCTGCTAGTTGTAAGATTCAGAGACACCTAATTTGACAAATCTCTATTGACCCGCATAGTTACAAGAAGAGCCAATGGAAATCATACCTTTGCTTGGATATATTTCTCCTTTGCCAAAATGGGGTCCCTGTGGACTGGTTTTGTGATCATTTTGGAAACATCTCCTCTACATGAAATCAATCCAATCAAAATGAGTTACACAAAATCTAATGTCATCATACTCCGTTGTCCACATCTAAGTGTAAAATGCCTTAAAAAACAAAAAACAGAGAGGGGGGGAAAAAGTTGCATCATAGCTCTCCACTTTTTCTTTATTTATGTACCTTTCATCCTCAACTTGAAGAAGTCCTTCCCACACTGAGTTACAATAAGCATTGCCCAACTCACGGAATAAATCCATTATAGCAGGTTCCCACACCTTGACATCAAATGTTAGCGATCTGACCTGCAAAAATAAGGGACCAAGGCACATGAATCTCTTTCTTGACAGGCAACCAGATTTCATAAACGCTAGACATTCTTGTCAATTTACAAGCAAGAGACAGATGAATAGGAAGCGCAGCCTTTAGGATCCAAAAATATACATACAATTAGTGTTTCCTCACTGATAACAGCTATTAACTCTCAACTTCTCTCTTCCCTATTTTGGACAATGCTGATATAAATCCTTGAAAGGGATAAGAGCATACGCTCCTCTAATAGTTTCTATAGCAGACCATGATAAAACAGCTTTTGCCATAAAGAACGAAGATTTCGACCCAAAAATCCCACTAAACATAAGTATATTACTATATAAATATCCTTTCTAGGAAAGATACTTCCAGCAATCAGACCCACATGATCCTGCAAAGTTATAAACTATCGGCATGCTAATTAAAGAGCACTTTAGCTTCTATAAGGACAGGATAAGCACACTGAAAAGAACAGTCAATATTACATACTAGGAGGAAATAAAAATCTGAAGATACAAGAATATTAGAATATTTAGTATTTCTGAAGAAAACTGCTCGCAGGGCTTTCATACCTTCGAGATATGAACTCCAAGATTCCGGTGAACTCCAGAGCATTCAATGCATATCAAAATCCCAAGATTCAGAGATGCCCAATCCGGTTCAGAAGCACCACATTCTGCACAAGTATCATTTCCCCGAACTTCCCTGAGAATTCTGACAACCCTATTATGCCCTGAAAGGGTCGGGTCATCCTCTGATGTCACAACGGATGTATGAAACTCTCCTGATGGAGGACCAGATCCATACGCGTCACTTAAGCCACTATTCTCAATATTCATTTTTCGATCATCATACTGCTATGGACCAACCTGAAGTCATGTTAGATACTCATAGGCATACAAATTGTACATGTAAACCTAAAGCTTCAAAGACTTCAAATAACAACATCGAAGTGTGGTCCTTCAAACACTAACCTGCTCAGTTAAGTGAGAGTTCAGAAGGGATACAATAACTCCTGTTATTTTATCAACCCAAACCTTCCGCTCCGCACCATTTTCTGCCTATTAAAAGAGATAAAAGATGACAAACTTAGCCATGCTTTTTAGCATCCTTTGATGCAAAAACTTACAACGGCATGTTTGTTTTGGTGACATTTTGGGTAGTGGGAGACCCGAGTTCCACCAAAACATCTCCTGTGTTTGTTTCAGGAGTATGGAAGCCGCAAAGTAGAAGTGTGGCATTCCATGCTCAGCATCAAAAGCCCCTTTTTTAGTAAGGGGCAGCTTCCATGCTTTAGCTACCATGTGAAGCCGCTCCTTCCATGATTTGAGGATGAGGGGGCTTTGGTAGTCCCCCTCTTCAACGCATCAAACAAGCCCTACGCTCTATGTAGAAGGAAAGGTTGGTTTTTATGCCTGTAACGTATATGTTTTCAAGGGAGAAATAATTCTGAAACAAAAACGAAGGTCTGTCTGCTCGGCATCAATTTTAATAGTTGCAGTTCGAAGATCCACAGTATGGCAACCAAGATTCTCATCACTCTGAGATGATCTGTGGTGACCTAACCGAAATCTACCAAACATTCCACTGCCAAGCTCAGATGCATACGTTGAGTGCTGTGATACAGATCCCTGGCAAATATAAAGAGAAAAAAAGTATTTAACAATTATGCCCCCAAGAGATAGCTCTGCAAAGTCAATAGTATATTCCTCAAAAATATTAATGCGATATTAAAATATGAAAAAAATTCAAGACTAAAAGATTCATGCGTGCGTGTGTACAAGACTTGCAACTTATTAGAGATAATAATTCCCTCAAAATTTTGGGTTTTGATTATAATTATGCCACTAAATTCGTTTCCAAATCAAATGCATCCACTTCCATGCCTAGTACAGGACATGGAGGTGAACCTACGACAACAAAAATTTGACTCTTCCAACTAAGACAACCGTAGTTCATCGATCAGTTTAATGATTTGACTCAACTTGTTTGCATAATTAGACAGCATTGAAATAGTTTCTGATTGTAAAGTGGGACAATCAAAATTAAGACAAACCGCCCTGATTACACAATAGTAAATAAGAGAAAATCTTTTAGCAGTTTCTTGCTGTTGCACTATATATCAAAAAATTTTTTTAAAGAGAAACCCAAATGCTCTATACCATACCATAGGCTTGCTCCCTGAATTTCGGTAATAATACAATGTTCCATGACTGTCAAGTACAAAGAACCTTCTCTTCCAATCGCCTCTCAAATTTGACGATCGCTTCAAGAGATAACCTTGCTTAATTGTTTGGACCTGCCAAAGAAAGGGAAGAGCTTGAATTCACTCTATAAAAATTCTTAAGCAACAACACGTACAAGTACAAGGGAAGATGACACTGATTAGATCCACACTATCAAAACATCAAAATGGAGAATTGAATCTCACTATGCAAATTCCACTAAGAACCTTGTTACTTGATCTTCCACAAGAACAGCAACTATAGAATGCTTTCCCCAAGTGACACAATCACAGAAACAGTGTTGGTTGCGAGAAACTACCTTTCCTTTTGCAGTGGACTGCATCAGGGCTTCTATGGATTTGTATGAATTTGTGCCAACAACATGAATACCATCAGCGCTCGTTGAAGTCTCTATATCACCAGAAGCACGTTGGTTTTCTAGCTCCACCTGGGTTCTGTACTCCTGAATCCTCTTTGCCAGTTCATCTTGTTCAACATGGGCCATTTCCTTTGATTGTTGTGAATATGTGAGAACCTTAAAACAAAACCAAAAATCCATTAGCTGCTGAAAAAAGAATTAGCATTTATGTGGAAATTGTAGATTGCTTCAATGTTCAAGATGTTCAATAGACATTGTTTCAGGTACATCAGAGATAAAGTCTTACCTCATAAATGAAGGGTTCCAATTGGCTAAATAACTCATAGCCCTAATGGTCATAAAATCATTAAGGTCACTAACCTATGTATAGAAAAATAAGAAATGCACTCTGAAAATAATCTGAAATAAAACCATAATTGCAAGGTTAACCTGTTTAAAGTAACGCATATGAGCATCCACCACTGCACTGAGAGATTCCAAGAACTCGTATTTTTTCTTTGCTTCAATACTTGTAAGAGCATTCACCTGAATTCCTTAACGACCAACTGAATAGTTGGAAACGTTGAAAAGTAGGTCCCTATGAAAAAACAAACTGGAGAAAAACTTATCATACTTACTAGATTGAAACGACATCTCTCAAACGATGACCTCGAGTTTTGAAGATCCTGCACAAAACAGGGTGTGAAAATTCTGCCAGATAATCATAAGCTCAATGTCCAATGGTCATTACCAAAAAATAGAGATCAAAAGCTCACTTCTTCTAGTTCAGATACAATCTCTGGTCGTGTGCCCTTCTTTATTGACATAAACTTTTCACGTGCCTGAAATATGACAGTTAATACATCATGGAAGTCCATAGCCCAATCAAAACAGTATGACATGAAATGTTTATTGACAAATGACAGCAACAAAACAAAGCAGGACCATCTCATTGACTCTCCAGCTCCACATAGAACTGTACAGCTAGTATGAACAACGAATTCAATGAATGACTCCACATAACATTATAACGCACATAAAAAGTAGGAGCCCCAAATGTGAAAACTTGTGAGGCATGAAACGAGCCACCAAAATACAACATCAACACACGCTTCTTGAAGAGTAGTCAAGATAAGAGGGAGCGATGGAATTTCTGACCATGCATACACATGTGAATCACATTCAATCCAAGAAAATAAAATATTGGGAAATTTATCAAAATACACATAAGAAATCAGCTATTTAACATTTTAATCATATCTTCGGATTTAATTTCCAAATACCCATCAAAATACACATGCCCATTAGCTGGAATAAGTAAAAAAGGGTAAAGTATTAAAGGTGGAAGAGTTAGGTGTATTACCCATCAAAATACACATGACCATGAGTTGGAATAAGTACAAAAGGGTAAAGTATTAAATGTGGAAAAGTTAGGTGAATTTTGATAAATTTCCTTAAAATATTCGATCATGAAATATTTTAAGAAAAATTCAATATATTGCCAACTTGAAATCAACAGTGAACAAAACAATATTCCCTACACATTTTCATGGGCCAGATTCTAATAAGAGCATTTACTCAATTCAAGGAACAAAACTTAACCAAAAGAGAGTTACAAGAGGCACAGAAAAAATGATGCAATTTGTATTATACAAAATGAAAGCTCTCCAAAAAAACATATTACAAATAGCCTCTAATAAATGGAATTCTCAAAAGGATATTTGATCATGCTCCTTGATTAGTTGCATTACTCTAATAGCAGTTCAACATCAGAGTATAACTTTTATGTTTCCACATGTACTACTAACATTTATCCTGTTGAAGTGGAAGAAAACAGATAAAACAACAGATTGACAGGTACGCAGGGATTTCTTCCAGCTTGGCATCATCATAACAAAATTGTATCCATGTTACAACTTATAACTGTATTAGGAGTAACCCATACAGCTAGGTAAAAATTTTAACATGCTTGGTGGAAGTAACATAATAGAACAAGTCCTTGACCCAAACACTTTCATAAATAACGTGACAATCAATTCAATGTGCTTAGTATGGGCATAAACTACTAGAATGGCCACAGAAGACATAGCATGATTTCTACAACAAATGTGGAAAATGAATATGAAGAAAACCTCAAATATCATATACGAGAGACAAGTAAGTTCATCACCACTATTGGATAAGCTCTATTCTACCTCAGCAATTGAGCAAGTTACAGCGCTCTGATTCTAACAAGTAATCAACCTAATCAGAAACACATCCTAATATATTCTAAAACTATATATCAAGCTATCATATCCAAAAGGAAAAACATTGAGGTGACAAAATAAAAGTACCTGATCGTAGCCAAATGCAGCTTTCTCATAGCGTCGCCGACAATCCTACCAAGGCAAATAAAATTGCATTTTGTCATGATATCAGAAAATAGCAGCCTCCATAACAACTACATGAACTGCATACATAATTGTCTAACTGATAATCAAAATAGAAACCAAATAGAAAGATACCTTAGCATTTTGCAGATCTACATTTGCAAACTGAATTAGTCGATTACTCAGCATATGCTCCACCTACAATAGTGAAGACATGTTAAACAACTCGACAATATAGTAAATGTAAAACAAAGATATACCAATTGAATCCATATATCTACAATATATTACAATACTAAATTCAGAAGGATATACCAATTGAATCCATATATCAACTAAGCAAATAGGTATTGAGAACATGCTTCCAGTTAAAATAACTCATAAAGCCGATGAAACAATTAATAGCATATGCATTTATAAGAACTATAGTAAGTCACCACATGTGCTGAGAGCTAATTCCACTGAACAGTACAAAACAAAGGCCCAGTGCTTGTCACTTCAAACAAAATAAATCAAAACCTTAAGCAGCATTCCTGTTGAAATTTTAGCTAGCCAATATTGTTCAGTGTAACTAGCTCTCAGCACAAGGAAACAAATGCTTTAAATGTCGGAAATAAAGCACTTAAGTAGCCATACTAGATTTCAAATTGAGATGTAGCACAAACCATGTATTCCAGTTCAAGTTCTTCAACAAATACTTGATTTCAATAAGTTACATGAAAGGAATTTATCTAGTATGCCTAATGAATGCAAAAGAAGACAGCTAAAGTCCACATGGAACGCAGTTTCAGTATCTTATTACCAAATTATCGGGATGCAATGCAATCGACCAAACAATTTAAATCGCAGAGTTCCAGAATAAGGCCGAGGTGACGTACGAAGCCCCCAAGATCATGACAAATAACATATAGTGAGGAAGTCTTACATGGCATTCTTAATGACAAAGAAATGAACAAGAAGTTATGGACGATAAAGCATGGACATATAAAGGCTACAAAATCATAAAAGTAACATTAAAAATATCATTGGAAACATAAATAAGACAAGGTCAAAACCCTTATTTGACCCAGAAAGTAAATATAGTATTTCTAGTACACAAAATCAACTTGGCACTTGTTGTGATTAAAAAGGAAACAAATACATACATAAGTCAAGGTCACTTAAAACCCTTTTGGAAAGGAAAGAAAATCCCCAGTACATTATTCCTAGCACATGATGAAATTGTAAAAATTTTCATAAGAGGCATTAAACAAAGTTAGATTGACCCTTTATGAGAACAACTCAAGCTTAAAGGCAAAGCTGTCAAAGAGTAACCATGGAATGACAGTGAAGATCTTTGTTTTTTCTCATCAACAGCCCCAAAGATCAGATCCAGGCCACGTCGCCAAAGGATAGATGCAGGCCACATCGACTACCACACTAACCTCTCTCTCTCTCAAAAGGCAGGTCATGTCACGCGAGGACGGAAGTAGGTTTGATCAGCAAATAACCAATGGACAGATTCCAGGAGTACATTATGGGCAGACCCTTTCAACCCCAAGATGCCCTCCCCTATCCCCTCTTCTTTCTCACCCTTTCTTGCAATTCACTTTTCTTCCCCACTCGTCTCTCTAGCGCCCACCTCTCTTCCTCTTTCCACCTTCTCTCTTCTAACGCTCCCACACCTCAATGCTACTCCCCTTACAACTCAGCCGCCCAATGCACTACAGATGGCACTCTGAATTACAACCCGGGTTCCCAGGCACTAACATCCCTCTACTCCCTTTCTCTATCATGCACATTCCCCCAGTCTCCCACCTCCTTCAAATAAAATTCTCTTCCCCCTCCCTCCCTGCACCAATCTCCTACAGACTTCTTCTTTCCCTAACAAGTTCCCAACTTCTTCTTCTCTCTCTTATAAGTTCCCAACTTCTTCCCCATTCAAACCCTTCACTCTCTGTAATCCCCTTCCTCCACGAACTATCAGAAACAGTCCTCAGAGCCACACCCTCTAAAAAGCGGTCCATGAAGCTATGACCAGAAAGAGAATTTGACAGACGAATCCGACCCACCCTGCAGATTTTGAGACCAAGTTCTTCTACTCAGTTGACTTGGAAGAAATCCAGGGGATAGACCACAGCAGATCAGAGGCAACATCCACGACCTACTATTAGCCATAGATTTCAAACTTGAAGATACTACAGAAGACATACTGGAGGAATTGAAGAACTCCACTAAAAAGCATAAGGGCACTCAAGAACTCATAGGCATTAACTCCAACATATCCTATGAGAAACCTGAGAGTTCCTCAACAGCTACCCAGCCCCTAAGCTCTCTTCTCGGCAGAGCTACCAAGACACCATTCCAAGGTAGTTCTATAGAACTAGTATATATATATATATATATATATATATACATAATATAGTACCATTGTACTATATCAAGTTACTACTATAGTATATGCTATATATTAGTATCTATATATATATATATATATAAAATATACTATAGCAAGTCACTACTTTATTATATGTTATATAGAATTATTTAGAACTATAGTTCTACAATAAATTAGCAATCCATTACAGTGCTATAGAATATGTTATATGTAATACTATAGCATTGAATTATATTACTATAATCAATAGGACTATATATAGTACAAAATAGGACAGGGGGTGGAGATGGGTCTCTACCAGTATTACCCTAGACTCCTCCAGGGGCCTTCTGTCGCATGTCGACACGTTGTCTCACATGTCGATACCCCTAGACTAGGGACAAACACTTGTGCTGTATATCTTTTCATGTGCCTAGTATGTGTCACAATTGGAAGTGTCGGCACATAAGTGCCAACATCACATACATGATGCGCACTTTATTTTCAAAGTAAACCCAGTTGGATTTGAACTTGCATTGCTAGATCAGATAAAGTCTCATCTACCACACAGGCTAGCCACAATTGTTGTATATATAGCTTCTTTTTTCTTTTTCTTTTTTTTAAAAGAACTAGATTCTAGAATTCCTTTTTATTTTATAAAAAGAGGTTGAGAGCATTTGATCCCTAGACATGTTGACCTCAAATAAGATAGTCTACCATGTTAGCTCATAGACCATCGCTAGATCTTTTTTTTGTTTTTAAATAAGAATGTTGTAGCTTCCTTCTATTATTTAATAAAATATTTGCCCAAGAGGGGATTCGATCCTAGGATGAGTTGACTCTACCATATTATCCCTTGGATGATGATTTTATAAAAGTGATTAATTATTTATATAATAAAAATAAAATAATACATGCAATATATCATAACGAATTGTATGGACGTGTTGGGGAAGTACTAGGATATACTAGGATTTTTGGCCCACATACTAGACACCCCAACACGAACTGGACGCCAACACATGTGTCCATGTCCATGCAACACTGGCCTTTACTCCCTCATTTTCTATCTTATAAATTTATATTGTACCATTATGTAGTACAATTATATTGTACTAAATGTTATATAAAGAAATAGAGTGAGAGGTAGATGATGGGTTTCTACACTCTCTCCTCTTCTCTCTTTAACTTGCTACTTTCTTTTTAAAATTGTAAATTATATTACATATTATATATACATATACTAACTACCTTTATAAATGTGTGTGTGTTATACATCCCCCCCCCCCAAATTGTCCCTCCTTAGGGGCGCCTCAATCAGGAGGCACGACGGGCAAAGCAGCGCTTAGGTGGCCATCTCCGCCTTTTTGAACACTGTCCAAACTGCATGGATCCATAGTGTTTGGGGCCTTTTGGCCCTATGATTGGGAGCCACTTTCCGCCTAGGAAGCCTCTGGTGTCATTTCGGTCATATGGGACCCCACAGCTTTTGACAAAATCAGTTCCTGCCTTGGTTCCTTTCTGCTGCAGCCTTGGTTCATTTTCTGTCGCAATAGGCCCTAAACGATGCTCTAACGGACACAACTGGAAAACCATTGCATTTTACGGCCCCAATCGGCCAAATCAAAGAGCAGATTTCTGGGGGGGGGAATCAGACTCAATGGCCCCGGGACAGCGCTCTATGTAGTGTTTAGGTCGTAACATCAACATCATATGGTCGTCCCATGAGAAGAACATCCATCGCTTACATCAATTATGTTTCACTTCTCAGACTTCATCCATCACAAAGGGCCTACGAATATACCAGTCTCTAGAGCCTCCTTCACCTTGTCAGACCAGGTCCAAAATTCAGTCATGACAAAGCTGGATATGTTCCTTATCCGAATGCGAAGAACTATTCCCTGAGGCGCACTCTAGAACCCTTCACAAGGCCACATTGGACTACATGCCCATCCTTTTAGGCATGGAGCCTGTTCTTAGGGCCTCTAAACCTTTTCACTTTGGGTTGTCCAGGCTTGAAGAGGCAGAACTACTCTGCTTGATCCCTTCATGCTGGTCCTCCTATCCTGTTTTTGTGGGCTGATCTCCAAAATGTCAGCTGTTCAAAGGGAAGGTCCCAAAATTTTGGTAATATTAGGCTAAAGAATGATAATCTTCTCAGGGAAATAGAAGATCTAGACCTCACGGAGGAAGCACGCAACTTATCTCAAGAAGGAAGGCATAAGACAGTGATATCCAAGTGTAAATTCTAAAAAGTCCTCAAACAAGATAAATTATATTGGCTACAAAAATCAAAAGTAAATGGTTGCAAGGAGATAGAGACACGGCATTATTCCACAAAATTGCCAGCTATAGGAGAGCAATTATCATCACCCAAATATTCATGAGGTTTGCACTATAGTAGAACCAGCAGAAAAACAAGGTGTGATTACTCAGTTTTTTTAGAACTTGTTCACGCCACATCTTAGGACTAATGTTGGCATCCACAACCTCTAATTAAGATCCATTCCGGGTGAGCAGGCTGCGTGGCTCGAGGGACCTTTTGAAGTAGATGAAATAAACCCAATGGCTTCCCCACGATCCTCTTACAGGTTTTGGGACACTCGCACCCCAAACATCTTGCCATTTTTGCTGAACTTCCAATAAGGGGTGATCAATGTTGCATGGACACCGACAGGGATGTCAGTATTTAGTACATGTCTAGGTGTCTACTATGTAGGCCAAAAATCACAGTTCTTCCCCGATATGTCCATACGGTTCTTAAACATCATATATTATGTGTGTTATTTTATTGTTATATAACAAATTAGTTACTTTTGTAACATCACAGTCCAAGGGATGGTATCGTAGAGTGGCCATATTAGGCATCAACGCTTCCAAGGATCTAATCCCCTCTTAGGGGATTTTTTTTTTTTATTGAATAAAAGAGGAAAGCTACATGATTCCTATAAAATAAAGAAAGAAAGAAAAAAAAACAATCATACAATAATAGTCCAAAAGAAAAGGCTTCTTACACAATAGGGCCCTTTACCATGAATCACTTACACCAAAGAGGAATACAATTAGGAAGCTGGTGCACCATGTGTAAAACAAGTGAGGAAACAGCTACCCCCACCTTCCCTTCATTGCAATGTGGCTGGCCAATTCTGAGACTCTAATAAAACTCTTTGACAGATTGTTGACAGATTGTACTCTCACATACCCCTCCCAGCTTCTGGGCTACTCCTTTCAAAACTTCTATGATGGACCTGGCTTGGTCCAATTTACTCAAAAAAAAGATGAACCTGGTTTGGTCCATTCATTTGGATGGAACGAACAGAAGACTTTCCGAAGGAAAAGAATCACAAGTTTAAGGGACCAGTGACAGATTGAACACCAAAGGAATTGGAATTTCCATGTTTCTCTACCTCGGATCTCTTGTGGAACTGGTACTACATTTTGAGGCTAACTCCCATAAGAATTCCGAGGTCCATGCACTGGATCCCTCCAAATCCAGGCACCGTCAAATTGAATTTCGATAGTTGTTCTCATCTTTTATTCTGCTGCCCTATTCAGGACCCTCAGGCAACCCACGTGAGCCACTGCTGAAGCAAAAGCCCTTCTCATGGGGCATAAGCTATTCCAGCAAGTATGGGGCACGTCCTTGCTGGAGGAGGGAGATTCCATGAATGCCATAAATTGGGCAAGAAAGCCCTGCCCATGGTGCGTAGAACATGTTTCCAAGGAAATCCACAAACTCTGCAACCAATTGAGATTCAATATTCATCACACATGGAGACAAGTGAATGCCCTTGCAGACTCGCTTGCTAAGGAGGGTACCGACTGCACTTCCCTAGCTATCTCTCAGCGAACTCACTAAAAGGAGCAAAGTAAGGACCTCAAGGCCCCCAAGAACTTGGTTCGTATAGCAATATTGTGAGGCTTGAACTATGGTTCACATTCTTCCCTTTTCTTTTCTTATCAACCTTGCCCCTCTTTTAGCCTTTCTCCACCCACTCGTCTACTTTGTTATTGGACCATAGCTACTTTGTCTTGTAATTTGCTTGTAGAGAGAACCACTTATTGTGCTTACCTGATTTTTATACTGACTTATACTTTCATAAATAATACAGTCAACATTTCTTATAGTAATAATAAAGAAAAACAATGAATATTCATCAACGTTGATACTATTTTAACTACATTTTAATTAAAACTTGAAAAGAAAAACAAAGAGCATAACAGTTATGAGATGTTAAGAGTCAGAAATTTTCTTTTTTTTTTTTTGGCTGGACAGTAATAAATTAAGCAAAAGATTAGACAGCATTAAGGGCATTACTTGAGATCGAAGAAGCTCCTTGTAGTTAGCAATTTCACGAAATGCAGTAATGAACTTGGATATGACAGGCCCTAGAAAACACAACCATGTAGACAAGAAGATATCAGATGTACAATAATTCAGGTGGAGAAGTATACCAAAGATACAAAACAAGATCACACTCAAAGCCACTTCTAGCAAACTCATTTAACCGATCATTAGGAGACAAAAACCACTATGCAAGAAAATCAACACTGAGCCAGACAATTGTATAAATTGGCTAAACTACTAAGTATAGGGATAAAGGCCAACCCAGATAGGTAGGGGAAGCTAGAAGGAGAATAAAAATGTTTGGAAAATAATTGTCTCCCAACATTGGGATTCTGAATCAACTTGTGCTACTCCTTTCACACAAGAGCCTCTTTACATACACATCAAGATAGCTGGTCTGGTCCCTCAGGAAGCAACATACTTACTGCAGATCATAAATCTTGTTGAAATCCCTTTTGCTTGCTAGTTCTCCGGTCCGAGGACCAAGAACGATAGCATCCAAGATTTGTCTCTAATCTACCAAACCTACAAGTAAGGGGTTGACCACTAAGGAAAGCATCACTTTGATTCTTCAAGTATGGACATAACAGATAGTAGTAACATATAGAAAAGTGAAAAGGCAAATATTCTGGAAGTCATTAAAAACAAGTCCAAGAAACTACAGTGAAACATTCCCAATCATGGGAGAAAACCGAGGCATGGAGATATCATATAGACCAAGTAGCTTAGACAGAAGACCAAGGAGCTAGATGAAAAAAGTATAATGCCCTCCAGAGTCAGGGTGTGACAAGCTCAAAGCATCAATAATGCAAATGAAAGTTAGATATATGAGCTGGCCGGACATGTTTTTAGAAAAAGGTTCTGGGATTAGTTGGTCACACAGCCACCAGATGCATTAAAGAAAACATAAAGGACAATAAAGGTGGGTAAAAAGGTGAGGAGAGGAGGAGAAAGCGAAAGGACAGAAAAGAGAAGTCATGATGAGTAGAGGAAAAAGGGATGGAGTTGGTAGATGATAGGGACCGAGTAGAAAAAGAAGGTTGATTTTCCGCACAGGTAAACAACCAATGAAGCGAGAACACGCCCAGGGTAGAGGGATTAGGGAGTAGATGAAAAACGGTACAAGGGTGTGCGCATGTGCAGATGGGTGTTTGTTTTGAGAGAGAGAGAGAGAGAGAGAGAGAGAACATAGGGAGGAGGAAAGATGTTGGAAAGAGGCAGATTGGTAATAATAAAATTCAACTTGAGCCATTCCCAAAAAATTTGTTAAGAATGGGAATCCCAGACGCAACTTAACCTTCCTTAAATATAGTGAAAACTCTAATAAGCATCACATCATTTTATGAAATCGTGTATGTCTTGCTCTTTTTTATGCCCTGTATGTCTATTTTTAAACATGCTACTGCCTGAATTTAGGATGCACCATCTAGTTTCCTACCATCAACAAATTTACAATCATAACTTTCAAATTCAAACAACCTCCTATAGCTATGCTGATGGGATCATCACGTCCACCTCCAAATTCCTCCAATGCATCTGCAAAAGCAATATCACCATCATATGCTTCTGCAAGAGCTGCCCTGAAAGGATAAAACTTAGAAATTTTTAGCACATCGGCTCCACGCTGTCACCCTCATGAAAAGAATACAAGTTGTAATAATCCAAAAAAATAAAATAATAAACACCATGTAAGAAATCTAAGCAGTTCTAAATATGTCCTCAAGCTCAGAAATTCCAGTGTTCATTGCTCAAGCAATACTTGGGGACAGTAGCTAACACAAGAATAATACAGCCCTCATCTTATTGACAACATAAATACAAGTAACTTAAGTTTATGCCAGTGTTTTAAAACCCAGACCCTTCGGATGAACTAGCCAGCAAGGAAATCGGCCCAGATTAGTGAATCACAAATTCAGACTGCCAATCCGAGAATCAGCCAACAAAAAAAAAAAAAGTTGAAAAGATTAAAAAGTAAAAATAATGAAAAATAAAATATGTGGGAACTGCATGATCCGGCCGGTCCAAATCGCAAGTTCCCTGATAGAACCACCCGATTCCTTTGCAAAACCAGGCGGTTCCATGGGAACCAGGCCAATACCTAGTTCCGACAAGGAACCATGTTAGTCACCACTGGTTCCTAATCCAGATCGGGAGATCCCTCTGGATAACCGCTTTATAAACACTGGTTTACACTATGAAAGTGCAAAATCTACCAACATTAACACTAAACACGTAACTTTAAGCACCAATATGATGTGAAATACAACACCAAAAGCACACCATATGATGCCTCTAATTCTTGGAAGAGGATTCACCATATGATGCCTCTAATTCTTGGAAGAGGATTCACCATATGATGCCTCAAGAAGATCCCCAAATACAAACACCATTGTAGTTCATAAAACACGTGACACATCATAATGGAAAGAATGGTTCATCAGTGGAAAGCATTATAGTTCAAACATCCTCTCACATCATGGTGTTAAGAATCTAGTACACTGTTTCATGCTAGAATGACTACTCTTGATTTGAACCTACCGACCTCCGCCCACAAGGTGAAGAGAAGCAGAAAATCTTCTCACAGATCAATAGCCAAAACATTGTAGACACTCCAAATCTGTATGGCTGATGAGTATAACACTAGTGCAAGCATATCCAAATTTTACAAAGCACATGCAGTCAGGCTGTTCGGTAGAGTGATTAGCTATTACAAAATTATTAGATCACTATGTGCAATAAATATCCCAAAGAAGTTCAATAACTAACAGAGATTGTAGACCAAATAATTAAGGAGTATTTAGATGAGATTACATAGACAAATCAAAATGTCAAAGCTTCTAAATCTCTAGCTAATGTCACAGCTTCTAAATCTCTCGCTACACAGAGGGTGTGATGCAGGCCATTATTGTTCTTATTTTTTATTTTTATTTATTTCAAATGATGTATATTTTGGTTTTAGTTTTTGGTTTATTATTAGGTTTTTAAGTCTTGTAGGGAATTCGAGAATTTTTTTTCATATTTTTTATTTACTATTCACTGATTATTATTCATAATTACTGTTCATGATTACTGTTTACATTACTGTTCATGGATACTATTACATGTTACTGTTTCTAGGAGTATTTCTTAAATTTTCATATTGTTTAGGGGCAATTTAGAGTCTTAAATATGTACTTGGGTCTCAAGTTAATTTTAGGTTTTCATATGCTTATAAAAGGTCGGATTGGGATAATTATGTTAATGGAATGAATTTTATTTTATTAAAAAAGAAAGTTCTTTTTTTGGCTTGATTTACATTCATGTTTTTTCTCCATTATTGCTGATTTTCTTGTTTAAAGTTTGGAAAATAGGTAGATTCAAACTCCCACTTTCCTTCCTATATTAGGGTGGAAAGAAAAACATTAGTATACGGTATATTATGGGTGAAGGAACTTTTCACATAAGTGGATGATTATGTAGAGAGTCTAGGGTAGATAAAGATAGGAAACCAACATAAATGAAGATGTTATTTTTTTCCTCACAGACAGAAATTACCTCAAGAAATCTGCACCTAAAAAAACAACAAAAAAGAAAAATTGAACTCAACCAAACTCATAAACTTTGGTACATAAAAACAGACAAAGTATCTATCAGGTATCAAGGTACTCACATAAATTTCTTACATCCCTTGTACAGCTTTATGCAACGCTCTCTGAGTACCTCTGTATTTTGCTCTACAAAATGAATCTGCATAGCCAACCAAAAGAAAAGAAAAGAAAAGAAAGAGAGAGTAAATTTTCCTCGATAATTTTTTACAAAAATTATAGGCCCCATTTGGCATTCCCCCATTCTATCAAGGAATGGGGTTATTAATGAACAAGGGCTTTTCTTTTCCTTATATAGGCAAGGAGCATTTTGAGGCACTTTCCAGATAAGCAGGGGAGAGAAATGGACGTTACTGATGAGCAGCAGGATGGGCCCAAACAATACCCTTTTCTACTCATGAGTGAGCAGGACAGAGATGAAATTATTCTTTGGTAAATAGTCCTTAAAACTGGACCTTAATGTTTTTCATCAGAAGGTGAACAAAAAAAGGAAATGGCAAGATACAGTATCATGCTCGACATTTCAAAATTGGGATATCTGTGCCATAAGGAATAATAGAAGACCAACATGTACCCCATAAAACATGCTCTGGAGACGAAGATAGTAATGCCAGAATGTTGAGGAAGAAATTATTCAAGCATCAAATGCAAAGGAGTACAAGTTCAAATCATTTTCAGTTGAATCAAAAGCAACTCAGAGAGAGAGAGAGAGAGAGAGAGTAGTCGATCATAGGATCTAGAAAAATTCACATATATGAAAAGCATTAGACCTTTCCATTTATCTGTTTAGGATTTAATCAAGTCTCCATCACAATCCAGCTTCTTCAAAATTAATACCATATAAGGAACTACAAACCACACAACAAGAATAGACTGAAGAAACTCCAAAATAATGTTGTTAGATTCACTTCACTTCAGTGAATTTGGCTGAAATATTTGGGTTTTACATCCAAACCGAGGTGAAGCGAATCTGAAGCCAAATGGATTTCGGGGTGATTCGGAAGTTTTCAGGGTCTCGGAGAGATTCCACTGAAGAAACCAAAGAGGCCCTCTTCAACTGAACCCGAACAGGAAGGAAATTGACCTCTTTTTTTCATCAGGCAATTTTGGTGGAAATAGAAAGAGGGGGGAAAATAGCCCAAAGAATGTAAAAATATGAAAAAGAAAAACCCACTACTTAAAAGTTAAAAAATAAATAGCCCTTTTCCATTAGTATTTATTTTTTTAATCTCCTTCTCCATTAGTAATTTTTCAAACTTGAATTGGAAATTTGAAACCCCCGCTTCCCCTCTTTCGAAATTGAAATCAAGCTTTTTTACAGGCAATCCTTGCTCATCACGTCTTGTGGTCGACCCTCCCTCCCTCCCTCCCTCCCATACAATATACCTAATGCAGTGAAATTGGACATGATTAATTATGGAATTCATAGATCAGTAACTCAAATTTGAACAGGAATTACAGAGGGGCATATATTCAAATAAATAAGTTTACTGAAAAAAATATCATTTAGATTATATCCCTCTCTCCCCATTTGCATATGGAAGATGCTACCGAATTTCAAATTTCAATACTACAAGTAATGATATTTCAATATTAATTGTCAGCTTGAGTTGAAAATTACTTCTACATTTTTGTCTTTATTTTTATGAGTTGTCAGATTTAAAAAAAAATCTATTTCTTATTTTTTATTTTTTCCAATACTGAAGAGAAAAACAAATTGAATCTGGTGAAGAGCTTCCTTTTACCAACCAAACTAGAGAAGCCTCCGAAGAGAATATAACCACATAAAATTGCTTCATATAAAGTGGGGTATTTCATCTTGACCATTTCTGTGCTGAGCTCCCAAAGGGTAATGCTAATTCTAGGGAAAAAGTGAAAAATGAAGAACCCCGCAATCTTTATCTCAATTATCAGGTAACAAATCCAGTTCTTACTGAATAAATTACCCTCTCACATATTACTCCCCAGTTTATCATGGTTTATATTTGATAGGCAAGATAGTATCCAAACTGACATAATGTTATGAATCAAACCAATCGAGAAGCTCAGACAAGGTTCTTCATACAATGATAAAGCTACTCCTTAGGTATAATGATCAATTTATATTATTCAAGCTTTATAAAAAAAACTATTCATACTCAGCAGTTGCCTCAACGAGTCTGTCAAGAAAAAAAAACAGTTTCCTCAACCAAAATCGTGTTTTAAAACGAAGATTTGAGCAATAAAAATGAAGAATTTACAGAAGAAGCTCGTTTATACATTGCAGAATCACATAGACCTTCAAAATCCATTAAATCATCGAAATAAAGGTATTGAAATAAATCAGAGTATGCCAATTATTGATTATATAATTGAAGCATAGTTTCAGAACTCAGATAATGAAAATGATTCAAATGGGAGGATAATAAATTAACTCAATGATTCACCAGGAGCCACAGTAAATGGTAACCATTAACAGCATCAGAACTGAAAACACTGAAAAGAAAGCATATAAGCAAGTAACAGAGACCTAGAAAAGCAGGAAAGCATAATTAGCAGGTTGCTGAGAAATAATCTCTCTCTAGAAATAATCCCTCCCTCTCTCTCTCTCTCTACTAAAAGTAAAAGAACTAGACCTCGTTACCGTAACGTACGTACGGGGTACGGTCCGTACGTAACGTACCGTCGGTACGGTAAGGTACGTACGTACTACGTTTAGTTCG